CCGCTCACTCGAGCCAACGGCCTCCGCTCACTCGAGCCACCGGCCTCCGCTCACTCTAGCCCTCCGGCCTCTGCTCACTCGAGCCACCGGCCTCCGCTCACTCTAGCCGCCAGCCTCCGCTCACTCGAGCCACCGGCCTCCGCTCACTCGAGCCCTCCGGTCTCCGCTGTACATTTTCATTTTTAAAGGATTTGCCACTGACGATTCAAACGCGAGTCTTAAGCAGTGTAGAGTAGCGCTTGTTGTTTGTCATTTCTCCGATCACAAATGCAGACATGGTTTTATGTTTACGCGGCGCGATGCAACGCAACACGTAAAAAGACAGTATAAGTCATTATTTTTGGCATAGTTTCTACTACAATATTCCACTCAAATGTCAACTGCTAGCAAAACTAATGTGGATTATAATAATTATGGACCTATAAATGCAATGTTTAATTTGACTTAAAACTGCTGCAAGTCATTTAACAGATACAATTTCATAAATATATCTTTGCGAGACAATTTAAGTACACAAAAATGTCCAGAAAACATGGTTTCTAAAAGTTAGTGACCTCTGACCTTTATGAGCCATTTAAAAAGACATGCATTTATGCAGTTTTTATTCACTATTTTTATACACTACTGTTCAAAAGGTTGAATTTTTTTTAAAGAAGTCTGTTATGTTCACAAAGGACACATTTATTATTATAAAAAACACTGTAAGAACTGTAATATTAATAGCTATTTTCTATTTGAATATATTTTAAAATGTAATTTATTCCTTTGACGCAAAGCTGATCAGCATCATGATGCTTCAGCATCATTACTCCAGTCTTCAGTGTCACATGATCCTTCAGAAATCATTCTAATATGCGGATTTGCCAATCAAGAAACTGTAATACGTTTTTTTTTTTTCAGGATTCTTTGATGAATAGAAAGTTCAGCATTTATATGAAATATAACTCTTTTGTAAACGTTTTTTTTCAGGATTCTTTGATGAATAGAAAGTTCAGCATTTATATGAAATATAACTCTTTTGTAAACGTTTTTTTTCAGGATTCTTTGATGAATAGAAAGTTCAGCATTTATATGAAATATAACTCTTTTGTAAACGTTTTTTTTCAGGATTCTTTGATGAATAGAAAGTTCAGCATTTATATGAAATATAACTCTTTTGTAATATTATAAATGTCTTTACTGTCTTTTGATCAATTTAATGCACCAGTGCTGAATAAAAATATATTCCAAGGTGTACTGTACATCCATCAAGGTATGAATTATGGCACCAATTGTAGAGTCAGAGCCTTCTAATTAAGAAGTCAAAACAAACAGTTATTTTAAATCATATTAGTAATTTGCAGGTTGTCTAAAACTTCCTACATATAACGGATGTTAAGCTAATTGTCATTCAATTCTAATTTGGATTAGCGGTCTTATTTCTGAAGGCGTCTTTCTAGTCTTGCACACAGTGGATGCTCGAGCGGGCCTTGTTTTTTGTGCCTTTGTAGCACACCAAAGTTTTAAAGGGGAGGGGTAGGGGAGCACTGCTGCTCCCTCTGGGAGAGGTAGATGTTGCCCTCGTTCGGCTTTGGCCTGCTTTCTTTGTTTTATCCTATTCTGGTAACATTTTTTCAACGCCAACCTGGTAAAGTTGTGAAATGCCCATTGTTCTTCTGACAACAAGAGTTGCGGGGGTTGAATCCTTTGACATGAACCCAAAGGAGCGCTCATGATAAGTTATTGAGCTCGTAACCTGGGCCACTATTGCATCTGCCTTTGTTTTCGTTTTTTTCTAATATCACATCCCATAGCACTGTCACAGAGTCATACACAAACATTCAAACATAGTAATTAAAATTGCACTATAAATTCAGTTGCAATATAAAGATAGCTTTTATTTCAGCACAAACAAATTTCAGCAACAACATTTCGCAATTATGAGAAAAGAAGTCAGAACTGCGACACATAAACTTGCAGTTGTTAGAAGAAAGTCAGAATTGCAAGTTAAAAAGTCAGAATTGCGAGTTTATGTGTCGCAGTTCTGACTTCTTTTCTCATAATTGCGAGATATAAAGTCAGAATTGCAAGATGTAAGTTCACAATTGTGAGAAAAATAAGTCCGAATTTTCTATCTCGCAATTCTGACTATTTCTCACAATTGCGAGTTTATATCATGCAATTCTGACTTTATAACTTGCAATTGTGAGCTAACATTTTGCAATTCCGAAAAAATTTGAGAATTGCAAGTGTATATGACAGTTTATATGAAACAATTCTATGAAAAAACGTCAGAATTACGAGATGTAAACTTGCAATGGAGAGAAAAAGTGTCAGAATTGCACGTTTATGTCGCATTTCTGACTTTATAACATGCAATTGCACCTCTATAAATTTCATTCTAAATATTATTGTGACTTTTTTACGGAAGCCTGTTTGGATGAAACATCAGGCGAGGGGTGCAGAACCCTAACAGAGCTCCTAATTAGCAGAGATGGTGAAAAGGCTAGAAGTTGCTTATCGTGCCACAAACAAGTGCATGAACAGTGGTCCTTTAAAAAATCCTTTGAAAATGAGTTTCAAACACTGACACTTGTGAGCAGTAATAGAGGGCCACTCATTAGAAGGTTGAATGAAAATGTTCATGTGGAAATAATTTACATTTAATAAGGATATGTGCTCTAGCTCGAAATCTTATTTGTTTTGGAAAATAAATGTAAAATATTTTTATTCTTCATATTTTTTATTATTATTAATTTATTTCATACTTTATTGTTTAATACATTAGGAATATTTTAGTTTATTTATATATTTTTTGTAAAATTATAAGTGGGCTTTTGACTTTAACACAGGCATGTTTTTATATGGCAATCACATTCAGTGAAGCACACAAACAGTTAACATTGGAAGGAATAAGAAGACATATTTTGGAATCATGAAAACCGCATATTGAATTCCTTTAAAACACAGCTAAACGGAAAACTGGGTAATATCTGGAACATTGTGCTTGGAGCAAGTTACATATCAAATATAGGGATAAAGGAACATCCATAATCTGAAAAACCTTTCTCGGTTATGAGGCATAATTTTCATGAGTGAGGTTATGCACACGAAACACAATATTTTAATCTGCAGTTATGAAATAGTGACGCCGATTTAAAACAAAAAGAAATACAAAAGACGATAAAGGCATTGCAGACAAAGAAAAGAGTTCCTATTTAAAATCATACTTTTTTCCTCTTTGCACAAAGGGTCTACTACTGTAACTCCCTGTTTGTCATTCAGTCAAATTCTGAGGCTATTATAGTCATATATGGCACTAACTATAGTGTTAAACAACACATGACCAAATACTAACATACATAAAACATGCCTCAGCAAATCAGAGTTTGTGAGGTAATATTATGTACAAGTTTGTGAGGTACAATCGCCGATAACAGCAGTATGCTGCTAATATTCAGACCAACAACATGACTACACGTGTGCTAATGTTTTATACAGTACATTGATAAAGAAGTTAATATTGAATAACTTACATTTTGTTTTCGCCAATAGAAATGGTTCCAAACAAAGCCACAGTAGATTAGTAACAGTCACGTCTCCAAGCAACACACTACAGTATCGCTGCTTAATTTCTGAATGAATCAGAATGTTTGTTTGTTTGTTTTTAATATACTGATGCTTCTGCAACAATATAATTACTAACTTGGGGTTTTGGAGTCATAATGCTTGTTCACATGATTCTTTAAAGTCTGGAGATTGATATACAGTATGCATAAAAGCTGTATCGTTTGAGAAAATCATTAAAAATACGGACCCTTCAGGAAAAGAAGTCTGTGTGTTTCACAGTGTCCAGGAATGCTGTTAATAATGAAGGGTGTTGTTAGCGAGCCTGCATGAGTGTGTTTTATGTGTATGCTTGAATCCATGCGTAAACATACAAACAGACTGGAAATACTGCCCAGCCAACTGGCAGTCACATCCAGCTGGGTCACAGGCCTGACAGCCTAATGAAAGTCTCTCTCTCTCTTTCTTTCTGCCTCTGCTTCTCTGCCTCTTTCTCACTCTAGAGACTGCAAGCCTTTTAAACTGTAAACTGTAAGAAGAACTGAGGGGTTTGTGGGGGCTCTGGCTTCTGCATGCATGCTCTCATACACCCTGATCCCCCAAAAAACAGCAGGAGACACACAAGCACTGGCTGAGGGTGTAGCGTTGTGTTTACATCTCAAAATACGTCCATATCAATAGTCCAGCTGTACATCAAAAGCCCATTAATGCAATAGTAACCTGTTTCAAAATACAGGAACGCATTTATGCTGCAGAGGATTGCCAATAGCAGTTTTCTCAACCAACTGCTGGGGCTGAACATAAAAATGATGGCAAATCAAATGTCTGGACATGAAACTGCTGTTTGAAAAGGTCGATATTGATTTTTCTCTGATAAAGTCAATGCATGCACTTTATTCAAACTGACATGTCCTCCTCAGGGAGTCTTTTGCGTCTAGACTCACTTATGAGGTCCATATGTCGATTAAACTGAAGGAGCAAGGCCAGAAGACATCTTTATTACTCAGAGGTTGCTCTTTCATTGCTTAGGAGACCTCATTTTTATTTTGGAATACAATTTTATGCTTAGACACCTAGTAGATATCCCTGAAATAGCTCTGTGGCAGCCTTAAGACTCATTCACACCAAGAACGATAACTGTAACGATAACTATATTAGCATCCATAAGCGCACATTGCAGTTTTGTCGTCTGCCACTTTAAATGCTCAAGCTCTTTAGTTGTGTCGATTCTGATTGGCTGTCAGTGTTTTTATTGTTCACCTAGAGAAAAAGAAATATACTAAAATGTATTTGAAAAACATTTATTTCATGCTAAGTATACTACAAATACATTTACATATTTGTGTACTTAATAAAAATACCCTGCACTTGTACTTTTAGTATACTAAACTGGTTTACGTAAAGCCTACTAAATTGTAGTAAACTAATTTTGTGCTTAATGTACTTGAATTGTGTGGAAGTAGTGCTGAAGTCCAACTAAAGATACACTCAAGATTATTAGATTGTGCTAAAGTGCAACTATTGCAAGTATATGTCAGGTGTACTTTAAATATTTTGCATTTAAATTATTCAATAATTATGCAATATTATTCAAAGTTCATAATCCTCATCAATAGTGACATTAAAACACATATTAGGCTTAATATTAAAAAATGTGCATTGTGCACAAGAAGTACTCCAAATAAAGTTTAATTATAATTTTTATATCAGTAAGTCTCGAGCGATGTGTCAGTAAATATGTTAATAGATTTAAATTAGGCTATACTTATGAAATAAATGTATTTTAAATATATTACTTTTTTACAAGGGTCATCAGCTGGAAAAAAAACTGTCCTGAAGTGATTCCGATTTGTTTCACTGTGTCGCTATTATTATAATTGTAGTGTGGACTTCCGAATCTCAATGAACTAACAATTATTAAAACTTTATAGTTATAGTTTATCTGTATAGTTAGCGTCCTTGATTATAGTTATTTGTTATCATATTATTTGAATTTATTATCATAATCATAAACACACTGTTTTGTAGCACAAATAGTTATAATGTCTATTGCACTTTGTTATTCTTCTTGTTATTTACCTATAGCAGCTAATAGATCAGAAGTTTTGCATAATCAGAAAATAGTTTACTTCTGTGTTGAAAAATATGGTTGATAAACGGCATAAAATATTTAGGGGCATAGCTTGCATGTTCAGAAAATTAACCAAATTTGGTCAACATGTCATTGGAGGGCAGTTAATGTTAGCAAAACGGCTAAAACCACTAACCTTTAAGTACAAACACTGTGATGTTTCTGCTGAAGTAGAAAAGACATAGAGCTTTGCTTCGGACATGAATTGACATCTTACATCACAGTATCAGAACTGCTAATTGTACAAAAGTAAACAAAAACATTCCTAAAAACAATAAATGTATTCTTTCCCCCCTTTTTTAGGCTCTGTCCATATTAGTGTCTGTCTGATTTGGCTAGCTATTACCAAATTAATCTGTCCGTTTAGCATTTAGAATGATTTTCCCCTGGCTCTTTTTCCGAAGGCAAAACAATAAAAGCAGAAGACCTCAACAAAATGTACTGTCTCTGAGAAGCAAGTGAGATATTATTTGTGATTTAGAAGGATCTAAACTTCCTGTCAGAGACTTTTGAAGAGCCTTGCAGTGCCTCGCTCACCTGTTAAGTGCTTACGAACAACTATGTTCAGAAACAGTCCGCTTAAATGGCCTTTGCTCTGTGGGCCTATATATCGAGACTGTAAGGTCTAATAAAAGGTTCAAGCGAGAGTGAGCTTCTCGGCGAGGGAAAGTGCAGCGTTTTTTTCCCTGTGTCCCGCTTCCATTAGCGCAGCTCCCCTGTGTGTAATGACCAGGCCCAATGCTTATCCCGGCATAAGACTTAAAGCGATCGAGCCCCTGCCTCGAACGGCACGGCTGGAGTGATTTGGGAAATAACGAGGAGCCGCGGCCCTGACCGGGTCTGGAAACAACTGAACGCTCATTAAGAACGGACTGATGGGAAAGAGAGAAGCTAATGCTGCGAGTCAAACGGATTTGCTTTCTCTCATTATTTCTCTTCCTGTCTCTCTCTCTCGGCTCGCTTCCTGTCCCCGCAGTGTCCCTTTAAATAATTCTTCTGATCCCCTAGTAATCTGAAAACGAGAGGGTGCACTTTGCCCATTTAGAGAAACTCTTCAATGAAAATATTTAAGCAGTCTAGTCAAACACCTTGTGGAGAGTTTGAGCCTGTAGAGGCTAGAAAAAGCGGCCGTGAGCCAGGGAGCAGTTGCTGAGAATGAATGATTAGGGGCCGCCCGCTCTTCGCCAAGTGCCACACGGCCAAAGTGGCTTGGGTTTACAGGGGGCATTATCGATAATTTATTGGATCATCTGCTTTTTCTCTCACGCCAAGCCAAGATAAAGTGGAGTGAGGCCTCTCGACAGAAGCCGGAGCTCGAACTCACTTCGCCAGAGCGGATGGTTCGACAGACGGCAACGAGTTATTTGCATCAACAGATGGGATTTAGCTTTGTGACTGCATTGTAACGCTGTTGTATCGAGAGAACGGGGCACAATTAAACAGTTTGAAGTTTTCTTTTCCGTAGAGGAGGTTGAATTTGGCTAATGGGTTGAGTAAAGTGAATCACATTTTGGAAAACTCCTTTGACGGAGAGTTTTTGGCGGTAACAAAGTATATTTTCTTGCACATTACAGTACATCAATTCTTAAAGTCTGTGTGAATCGCCCATCTCCCGTTTCACTTATACTGTATAATAATTGCAGAGTGAAAAGGGCTATTCAACAAAGAAAAAAAAGCATGAAGTAATTGGACTGGGAAAAGTGGCTGTTCCATAATCAGAATGGAATCAGAAATTAATGCCAGTTCATTAAATTGGCATCTAAATAGTTATTTGGTTATTGGTTAACAATAATAGCATGATGCAATTTTTGGGCAAATTTACTCAAAAATACATTGAAATGTAATTAATAAATATAATGACTTGAATACACATTATATATATATATATACAGTGGGTACGGAAAGTATTCAGACCCCCTTAAATTTTTTTCCATCTTTTTAAAGTTTCTTTTGAAGGTTAAAGTTCACCCAAAAATGAAAATTCTGTCATTAATTACTCACCCTCATGTTGTTCCAAACTCGTGAGTCCTTCGTTCATCTTTGGAACACAAATTAAGATATTTTTGTTGAAATCTGAGAGCTCTCTGACCCTCCATAGACAGCAATGATATTACCACGATCAACGCACAGAAACGTAGCAAGAACATCGTTAAAATAGTCCATGTGACATCAGGGGTTCAACCTGATGGGTGAACTATCCCTTTAAACTAAGTGGGGTCCATATTAATTTCACATTCACTCCACAATGCATTCGATCGTTTGCTCCAAGTTTAAACCGCCTTTTGTAATTACAACCTCTCTTCATTATCCCAATGAGTCACTTGTGTCTTGAGCTTGACGCACAGCCATATACGTGAACATGCTTTTACCTCAATAATTCATAATCGGGGAGGGGTGCTGAATAATTGAACTGAACTTGAAGGCTTTTTTGCACAGTGGAGCTTTTACATTGGGCTTGATGTATCTGGAAGAGAGCGAGAGGGGAGTGCATAGTGCATAGTGCTAAGCTGTGTTTTCACCACTTGTCTCATTGATCAATAATTTACAGAGACCCTCTGACTGGGACCTGTGCACTCCAAAAACTAGTCAATGACACAAACCGGCCTGCACCCTTCCCGAAATCCCTTTCCACGCTCCTTAATCCACCATTACCTCATACTGCACAAAGACATGCTTGAATTCTGCAAAAATGGAACTTGGCGTCCACAGTTCTAGGAAATACTGAGGCAATATTACAGTAAGTGCCTTTCATCTAGGAAATGAGGATTGCTGGTGGAAAAAATAGCATAGCCAATAAAAACCAATGTGGGTACTGCAGGGCAGCCGTGCTTGCATTCTCCCTGGCTGATGGGAAAAAGAGCAGCGGCTCAGGGTGGCGCTTTATCGCACGAACAAGCTCCTGAGCTCCAGCCCCGCTCGCCGAACCATCATCAAAGGCTGCGGAACAGAGAGAAACCGCTCCGTTGACTCTGATCTCGGGTTGTTAAGGCATGGCAAGTGACTAATTAACACAAAAGAAACTAGCGGGCGCCTGCGGAGCACTAGGCTGAAATAAGGGACGCTTGAATGTACCTGGAGAGCACATGAATTCATAAAATGTGCAGAGGCCTGGTGGAGACTCGTTTAAACGGTATGCAGATGCACTTTTGGGAGCGTTGCGTCAAGTCCTGGAGACTGACGATCCAGAGGCAGTTTGAGGACATCGATTGCACTTCTTCTGATCTCGGTTTGCAGACAAACAGGAATGGGTAGCGCAGAGGGTGTTAGCAATTTATACTTCACCCAGACTTGATCTTCAAGCGTGAATCATTTGTGCTCTGCTCAAGTCCTTCTAGGGCAAAAGAAGGACACTTTAGCACAGTTTTAAAAAGATTTCTTAGTATGGAAATAGAATATACTTTTAAATTGATAGTTTTATTTTATTTGTTCTTACAAATGAGGAACATTTTTGTCATCATTTAGTCTCCCTCATGTTGTTCCAAACCTGTATGAGTTTCTTTTTTCTGTTCACCTCAAAAGAAGATATTTTTACACTCTTAAAAATAAAGATGCTTCACAATGCCATATGAACAGCCTTTTTATCTAAATGGTTCCATAAAGAACCTTTAACATCTGAAGAACCTTTCTCTTTCACAAAAGGTTCTTTGTGGCGAAGAAAGGTTCTTCAGATTATAAAAAGGTAAGAAAGAGATGGTTCTTTAAAAAACCTTTGACTGAATGCTTCTTTGCGGAACCAAAAATGGTTCTTCTATGGCATCATTGTGAAGAACCTTTGAAGCACCTTTATTTTTAAGAGTGAATGTGGCTAACCAAACAGTTGCCATTGACTTCCATAGTATGAAAATATGGTTACTATCAACTCTTCAGTTATGAACATGCTTTAAATATTTTATTTTATGTTCATCAGAATAAAGAAATTCATACAGGTTTGGAACAACTTGAGAGTGACTAAATGATAACAAAACTGTAATTTAAGTGTGAACTGAATGTAGTGTTTTTTAGACTGTAAATTCCAATTAAATGAAAATGTATTGCGATTTACAGTACATTTACATTAAATTGTAAACTGGACTTTAGAGTTCCACTTTAGACCCCCAAAAAATAGGATTTAAGTACATCTCTGTATGTAATTTTCATAATTACTTAATTCTTAATATCTTTGAAATATGAGTGTACTGCCGAACGTACTGACAAGCATTTGCGGTAAACTAAAATATGCTTTAATGTAATTTCTATTGAAACTTTTATAATTATAATCAAATACTGTAGTATGTTATTCTACACATCAAAATAAGTGTACCTCTTTAAAGCACAACAAAAGTTTATTAAAATGTAATGACTGGCAAAATGTCCTTTAAACTAAAACTTTTAATTTGACATTATTACAAAGTGTATTTAAGTGTGTTAAGAGACATTCATGAAAGTATCTCGAAGTACACTTAAGTGGCCTTTTATTCAATATTTTATTTCGTTTTATATAATATCATTATTATATTTATTAGAATTGTATTATGATTATAATAAAATTTGAACAAAATGTATTTAATATTACTTAATGCAGATATGATAATATTTTTTTTGTTGAAGATTTAAAATACACTAAAGATGCACATTCAGCATGCTTTTGTTTTTGTACAAGGGTTATCAATGTATTTTTGACCAAAATAATTCAGATGGCTTAAAGTGGATATGTGCGTATGAGTTCAGGAGGTTTTGCCATTTTTACTCACCCACAAACCAACAGAACTTAGACAGGGTAGCGCCACCCTTAATTTCTGACAGGAATGAAAACGAGACTGAGGGACTGAAATACAACAGATTGTACTGTTATTTAACAGCATATGGACTGTTCAGTGACACAAAATGTTCTGAAAAAACTTTTTTTTTTAAAGTTCTGAGTTGTGAAAATTGTAGGATCTTTATACAGCACATGCCATTGTAAAGACTAAGCCTATCCATCACAGCCTTCTTCTGCATATAATTCAATATGGCGTCTAACCAGACTAAGGCCTAAGTGCATTCAACTTTTGATTATTTGGTCCATACAATGAAAGTAAATGAGGTCCAGTGTTGTTTGACCAACAGATCAAGTGAATTATTGGCTACCAAGAAGAATTAGAAACAAAACTTTACCTTTTTCCAACTCAGACTCTCATATTACTTATTCATAGTGTATTTGAATTGATTTTGCATTACAACTTTACACTTTACATCCAATGTTGAGAACCAGTTGCGAACTGCTGCTCTACCTGATACAGGAAGACACTGCGAGAGCTTCCGTCTACTGGAAAGTGCACACCATGGGGCTCGAGACATGGATCGTTTGTTATTCCCGCCTGGCCCATGGGATTACTCAAACATTGTTCAAAGCTCAAATCAAAACAAGCAAAGAACTGCCCGAGGTTATGAGCAACCCTCACCACTGAGAATCTGAATACGACGATATCTCCTCCATTTAGAGGTCAAGTTGGGGTTTGTCTGATGTGATTTATGATACAGAAGCTCACCTAGGACTATTGAGGAAAATACATGTCACCCTGTGTTGCTTGGTTAGAAAAACAGCATCTGATCGCTGGTGATAGATGGATCTGTTGGTAGCCGGAGCTTGTGGAGATGAAGACGGGCACAACGTGTCCGAGGCAGTGGTGGTTAATCTTCATCTGCGGTCAGAGGTTCCTCGTGTCCCCTGAAGTTCATGTTTCCTGTATTGATTAAAGGCTGCTGGATGGGCCCCCCTGTTTTGAGGGGAAAAAGTTCTCTGTGATGAGTTTCTCAACTGACTTGCCTCTATTGTTCAGGTAGTGGATAAATAGCACAGCGCTCGATGGAAAAACCACAAAGGACATCTCTCTAATATCTCAACTGTTTCCCCAAGATCTCCAATGATATCAAATGGAGCGCAAATGGAGGCATTTTCGTAGGTTTCCTGCTTCTCAGATGTTTCTCCTGCAAAGAAGATCCTTCATTACATTAAGTCATATGATCAGTTCATGCATTTCCCAGCAAAAGAATCAGAATCAGAATCAGAATGAGCTTTATTGCCAGGTATGTTTGCACATACGAGGAATTTGTTTTAGTGACAGAAGCTCCACAGTGCAACAGAATGACAGTGACAAGACAGGACACAGATAATAAAAAGAATAATATACAAATATACAACTACAAATATACAAATGAACACATGACCTTGGCATTGCTAGCGTCATTTTCTCCAAGAACTCACATCTGCTTCCTCCAGAGTTCCAGAAGAGACCTCAACAGTCTCTCAAACTGCGGTCAGACTTGCCAAAATACCAAATCTACAAGCAAAAGTCACAAAAGTTCAGTATGAACTCATTTTTTTCCCTTCAAATAGCCTTATTTATATATAAAAAATATAGAAGCAATCAAAATGAAAACTAGACTAGAAATGAACAAATATAATAATAAATTACTACAAATTATATTAAATTATATTAGGTATATATTATATAATATTTTAAAGGAAATTTTAAAGTGACTTCTGAGATGAATAATATAATATTATATAATAATAATGCTAATATAATATTATAATATAATATAAACATTTATAACATTTTTATTTATCATACTCATTATATTCTTATAATAAAAATATAATTGTAAATTGTTACAAGATATTTTTAAATATTATAGGCCTACAGTATGTTTCTGTTATATGTCAAAAAAATTGTTTACACAAAACAAAAATTTGTTTAAATATTAATTTTCTTCTAAGGAATTTTAGTAAAGTAAGTGACTTTAGAGATGAAGTATGTAATATAATATAATATAATATAATATTTATAACACTTTTATATATCAGTCATTATATTATAAATTATTCCTTATTAAATTATTATACAGTATGTTTCTGTTGAATGTAAACATGATGATGAATGTTTATTTTTCCTAAAGATTTTTAAAAGTGACTTCTTCAAGTTTAATAATGAAGTAGAAATTCTTTAGTATACATTATATCTAAACATTTATAAAATTGTTATGTCTTTTCATATTACAACTCCTACTGTAATAAACATATAATTCTAACTATAAACAAAATTAAGCATTAGCGTTAGTTCTGGCAGGTCACGTGAGTCAAGCTTGCATCAGCTGATCACATCTACCTATAGGAATACGACACCTATCGCAGCATTCCTATATAAGCTCTATTCAGTATTATTCAGCAGCTTTACAGCTTTCCCCCGGAGCAAATTACCCTCCTCCATCCCCAGCTCCTCCTTTCGCCACAGTCAGTACTTGGCGTTCTGATATTCCTTGCTAATCAGACTCCTTTATCTTGAATAAAGTGTTCCACTTAAATATCATTAAGTACATTAATGATATCTGCCTTGTTGTTCTGTTCTGTTAACCCTTGGGGGGTTATTATTGCTGCTCTCCCTGCTCATTCATGACAGGCTGCATGGATGGGCAGGGAGGTTTTTGCCCAGAACAGAACCATACCGCCAAACCAAACTTTATGCTAAGTATCTATCATTTTGACGATAGTGGTCCTGACAGAACTATATTCAATTATTATATAAATCATGTTCCTGTGTGTGTGTGTAAACAATGATTTTGTTTGTTGCTATATTTATTTTAACTAAAGATTTATATAATAAGTATATAATACATTATAATACAGTATAAACATATCATATTATCATTATGTTATAAATCTTATTGTATTGTACAGTATGTCCCTGTTGTATGTAAACAATGATTTTGTTTTTATTTCCATATTTTCTTTTCCAAGGGAATTTAAAAGTGACTTCTGAGATGAAGTTGAAACTTCACTGAAACACTGTGAAGCGCTCCATCTAAATAAAATATTCCTCTGGGAAAAGAAAATAGTCCTCTGTAAGTTTGGCCTTACTTGGCTAGTCATACAGACCATTCGTAATGCTAATAAAAACACCTACGCAGCTTGATCAAATATGTAAAAACGCATTAAATTGAGCCTCAAGCCAATACAGAGCACACTAGACCGCCTTTTATAAACACAGACATGGAAGAGAATCAAAAGACGGCAAGTATGCCACCAGCCGCCATGGGAAAGGGCCGCAGCATCTCTCGTCTTTGTCTTTCCTTCAGCAGAGAAAAAGACAACAGCGGCAGCTCAAATGCGATGCGTAGTCACGCAGGTTATATCTATGCCTGTGTTCTACAAAGACATGATGGCAACAAGCACTTAATTTGTGGTTAGGCCTTTATAGTGAGGTGTGCTTATCCCCACAGGAGTTCATTATATCCACAGGCCTGCTTCATTGTCTTCTCCCCCCCGACACACTCCTCTTGTGGGGTGATTTAATACAATTCTCTCGGTAATAAACAACTGAAGTGCATGACCACAAACACGCCGCATATATTATCCTCTTGTTTTTTTCCCTCCTTTTTTTCCTCTTTGGAAGGTTATTCTATCATGTAAATGAGTCTGTGCCAAAACATATTTTTTAGCCGCTGTTATTATTCTCGCAGAGTATCATTTGCAGTCAAGAATGTGATTTTTATTGCCCTTCAGTGGACTGTTATAGATTATTTTATTATGCAACAGTGAGGCCTTTAAATATATGATGAGATGATGATTTTAAATATGATGATATAAATATGTCAAATGGAAGGAAAATAATTTAAAATCATAAAATAGTTCAAACAAAATTGTCCTTTTAGAGTCCAAGCTATATCAACTGCCAAAAAGCACTTATGCTATTTAACGTTAGTGAAATGAACAGTAAATTGTTTAAAAAAATTAAATTGTAAGAATTAACGGTGATCTCATATATATAGTATTTATAAAAGTCATTAAAATGTTGAATTAGGTAACCAAGTAAAAAGTAATATTTTCCTTGTTCCTTAAATACTTAAAAACATAAATATGTGCAGTGTACGAATCATTATTTTCAAAAAAGCATTTAAATATGTATTTTCAAGGTAAAAAGTATTTATTATAAATATCAGGAATTATAGATTTATAAATATATTTAAGTTTTAGGGGAGTTGCACCACATGACATCTTGAATGAATGGCCCCAAAAAATACCAAAATGATTTCTTTGTATTCAGAAAATTTAAAATGCAGAAATTTAAACAGAAGATGTGTATTTAGAATGTTTTTATTAAAATGTTTATATTTTTATATTTTTATATTTCTCGTTTTTCATTTTAATAATTTACTAATTAAAGTTTTAGTAAATTTTTTTTTTCAAATAAGTCAATATAGTTTTTAATCATTTTTATTTCAGTTTTAGTTATTTTAGTTCAAATTTGAACTAAACTAATTTGAACATTTTTTATATTTGATTTTATTATCATTTATTTTATAAATATTCTTCATTTTATTAAAAAAGTCTTAAATTTGAGAAAATTATTGATTTTTGTATTTTCTATTGTTTCAGTTTTGGTCAGCTATTATATATCTGGTATGAACTGCATTTTTTTATATAATATTTAATAAATCCAGACAAAAAGTGTCATGTCTTTGATATTGTTTGAGTCAGTGTACTGAAACGGACTGTACATTTACTAGAAACACACAATGTGCAAATACTTATGAATACTAATCAATAAAGTAACAGATCTGAATCTCTCTTTGTACGCACTCTTTGTTTTTATCTCTGACTGCTTTTATTTTAAACATCCAGCTGCTAGACAACGCCGTCTGTATGCATGTTCTCTCACATAAAGCGCTGTATTCTTTAAAGCCTCGGTTCAAGTGTTCATTTTTAAACCTTCGCCTTGAGCTGAGGCGACTGCGGACCATCTGTGGCGGCGGAGGGGACAACTGTTGCTAACTAAATTAGCCAGCTCCATCATCTTGATACATCAGTGGAGTACCTGGGCTCTCGATGACCTTTCCCTCTCCCTGTACCCAGCCCTCTGTCCTCGCTAATATAGATGCAAACAGAACTGGGTCAAGCTCCAGGTATAAATCTTCCTTGGCAAGGCACAGCGCTGTTTGCCAGGTCTCCACCGCGGGCACGTGTGACGGACAGAGAAAGAGAGAGAGGGAGAGACAGAGAGAGAGTGGATGGGGAGCAGGTCTGGAGGCGCGGATGGCATCGTCACTGCCTGTGGGTAAAGAGCAGGCGGTGGCTGCCCAAAGGCCTGCCTCCTGCTCAGATAGCAGTTGGTCTGTACCTTGTGTTTCGTTGAATGGCCGAGTGTGTTTTTATAGGAGGGCTGACCAAGCATTTATTTCCTGTGCCTAAAAAGTCAGCATAGGCATGAGCATGTTTTTCAAGGAAAATTAAATAAAAGTCTGCGCAGTAGTGATTCATTTGGAGCCCGAGTCTGAGCAGAAGTAAATCATTTGGAGCCCGAGTCTGCACAGTAGTGAATCATTTGGAGCCCGAGTCTGAGCAGTAGTGAATCATTTGTAGTCCGAGTCTGCGCAGTAGTGAATCATTTGGAGCCCGAGTCTGAGCAGTAGTGAATCATTTGGAGCCCGAGTCTGAGCAGTAGTGAATCATTTGGAGCCCGAGTCTGTGCAGTAGTGATTCATCTGGAGCCCGAGTCTGAGCAGTAGCAATTCATTTGGAGCCTGAGTCTGAGTAGTAGCTGTAATGACTTGATTACTTAAATTTAGGGAATTAATTATTATGAATTCATTCAGGTTTTGAAAGGATTCGGATCTGAAAATTCTAGGTCCACCTGATTAAACTGATTTCAAATTTGTTATTTTACACTTTAAATCAAGTCGCGGCGGGCTCTGGCTCTCCGTCAGCGATGGGCTCGGGCATGCGCTCCGTGCATCGGGGAGATGGTGGGCTGGGCTCTGGGTTGGGAGCGGCACTGGCGATTAATTCCTGGGAACCGGCGGGGAACGGAGATCCATTTCTCGCCAGTGTCCACTCCACAAAGGCGGCGAATTCAGCTCGAGGGCCATCTTCGGACGACGGAGGGGATCCATAGGGCACACAACGGAAACAAAAAACTGAGTAAAAAGAGAAACAAAACGGAGGGTACAAACATAGGTAACTGTATCAGTCGGGTCTTCTGTCACAATTCACTCGGGGAGCAAGGAACTGGGGAATAGTCACACACACAGAATAGTCCATAATCCTGACAGTACCAGGATGTAGGGTGATAAATAAGTATAAGGTTATTGCACAATGGGAGAACATTTAACTGTTCATGAGGTAGATTGGGGAAAGAAACTGTTCTTGTGCCTGGCTGTCCTGGTATTTGGTGCTCTGAAGTGCCGAACAGATGGCAAAAGTTCAAAAAGGAGATGGCTTGGATGTGAGAGATCCAAAGTGATTTTCTGAGCCCTTTTCCTCACTCTGGATATATACAGTTCTTGGAGGGTGGGCAGGGCAGCACCAATAATTCGTGCAGCAGTCCGAACCGTTCTCTGTAGTCTTCTGATGTCTGATTTTGTAGCTGAACCAAACCAGACAGTTATGGATGTACACAGGACAGACTCAGTGACGGCTGAGTAGAACTGTTTCAGCAGCTCCTGTGGCAGGTTGAATTTCCTCAGCTGGCGAAGGAAGTACAATCTCTGCTGGGCCTTCTTAACAATAGAGTCGATGTGAGTGTCCCACTTCAGGTCCTGAGAGATGATGGTTCCCAGGAATCTGAATGAATCCACTGCAGCCACGCAGCCACAGATGATGGTGAGTGGGGGGAGTGCAGGGGGGTTCCTCCTGAATTCAACGATCATCTCCACTGTTTTGAGCGTTTGAGCGTCCAGGTTGTTAAGACTGCACCAGACAGCCAGCTCTTTTACCTCCTGTCTGTAAGCAGACACTTCTATGTCCTTGATGAGGCCGATGATTGTAGTGTCATCCGCAAACTTCAGGAGCTTGACAGAGGGGTCTTTAGAGGTGCAGTCGTTGCTGTACAGGGAGAAGAGCAGTGAGGAGAGGACACAACCCTGAGGGGCACCAGCAAACAGTGACTGACTATCACAAAACTCTGACAGAAAATCAATGATTGTTTATCAAGTCACATGATCCAAGTTGGCCTTTACACTTTCTCTAATGTTAAAGCATGTTTTTATTCATCATGCTTTAGAGTACAGTTTAAAAATCTTGCTGAATTTTATTTAGAAATGGTACATCGCCATTTTGCTCCGTCTTTACTTGAACGCACTGTAATTTGGTAGGAGAACTTGAATACACAATAAGGCCATCTCTGGCCATACATGTGTTATTTGTTGCCTCCGTAAATCAATTTGGTCTTTTCGTGGAATTTCATACCTGCTTACCAAAATTACATACTCCCAAAACAGACGTTTGGAGGAAATGTGAGAAACAGAAGCCATTTCCCTTATTAGAAGTTCATCAGAATGATTGTGAAACTGACATTTCAAGGGGAAAAAAACAATGTACATATAGTTAGTTTTCAAACCTGACAGCGCAATTCAAAAAACATGCTTTGTTCCTCATTACAACAATGAAAATATTCCAGGCTTTCTCTGGGTTTTCGCTGAATGAAATTCGTACTTACAGCTATAAAGCATTTAGGCATAATTACGTTACAATCACCTTGTGCAAAGGACAGTCGTTTTACGGACATCATGTCTCTTTAGTGACATACCGTCTGTGTAAAATTAAATCCTCACTTCAGCATTACATCTGTGTGAAATCATAACTCAGGTTTGAAAGAACACAGGCCTAGTCTGCAAAACACAGTCCTAATCAATTTTACAGCTGCCTTCTGGCACGGCGCAGGTAATGAGAAAGAAGTGGTTACAAATCTGAACGCTGACAAAACCACGAGTGACTAGCAACTCTTGTTTTGTAACATTTAACTGTTCATGAGGTAGATTGGGGAAAGAAACTGTTCTTGTGCCTGGCTGTCCTGGTATTTGGTGCTCTGAAGTGCCGAACAGATGGCAAAAGTTCAAAAAGGAGATGGCTTGGATGTGAGAGATCCAAAGTGATTTTCTGAGCCCTTTTCCTCACTCTGGATATATACAGTTCTTGGAGGGTGGGCAGGGCAGCACCAATAATTCGTGCAGCAGTCCGAACCGTTCTCTGTAGTCTTCTGATGTCTGATTTTGTAGCTGAACCAAACCAGACAGTTATGGATGTACACAGGACAGACTCAGTGACGGCTGAGTAGAACTGTTTCAGCAGCTCCTGTGGCAGGTTGAATTTCCTCAGCTGGCGAAGGAAGTACAATCTCTGCTGGGCCTTCTTAACAATAGAGTCGATGTGAGTGTCCCACTTCAGGTCCTGAGAGATGATGGTTCCCAGGAATCTGAATGAATCCACTGCAGCCACAGTGCTGTCCATGATGGTGAGTGGGGGGAGTGCAGGGGGGTTCCTCCTGAATTCAACGATCATCTCCACTGTTTTGAGCGTGTTAAGCTCCAGGTTGTTAAGACTGCACCAGACAGCCAGCTCTTTTACCTCCTGTCTGTAAGCAGACACTTCTATGTCCTTGATGAGGCCGATGATTGTAGTGTCATCCGCAAACTTCAGGAGCTTGACAGAGGGGTCTTTAGAGGTGCAGTCGTTGCTGTACAGGGAGAAGAGCAGTGAGGAGAGGACACAACCCTGAGGGGCACCAGCAAACAGTGACTGACTATCACAAAACTCTGACAGAAAATCAATGATTGTTTATCAAGTCACATGATCCAAGTTGGCCTTTACACTTTCTCTAATGTTAAAGCATGTTTTTATTCATCATGCTTTAGAGTACAGTTTAAAAATCTTGCTGAATTTTATTTAGAAATGGTACATCGCCATTTTGCTCCGTCTTTACTTGAACGCACTGTAATTTGGTAGGAGAACTTGAATACACAATAAGGCCATCTCTGGCCATACATGTGTTATTTGTTGCCTCCGTAAATCAATTTGGTCTTTTCGTGGAATTTCATACCTGCTTACCAAAATTACATACTCCCAAAACAGACGTTTGGAGGAAATGTGAGAAACAGAAGCCATTTCCCTTATTAGAAGTTCATCAG